ACTGAATTTGTAAGAATTTGAGCTGAAACTTGCAAGTTTTTGTTATTCTGATTTTAACTTCGAGTTCGAGTTGAACCAAGTGGTGGAGAGTGTTTTTGAGACTGTTTGTTCAGCTTTAATCCGAGTTATGGATGAAGGAAGAGGTAATAGAATGATTATCGGGATGTCAGATGTGGTTCTTGGCTGTGTAATGCCCTATATTCACGACCCGAGAGATCGTGACGCAGTCTCGCAGGTTTGCCGCAGATGGTACGAGCTCGATGCGCTCACTCGGAAGCATGTCACCATCGCTCTTTGCTACACCACGACGCCGGAGCGGCTACGGCGGCGTTTCATACATCTGGAATCTCTGGAATTGAAAGGGAAGCCCAGGGCGGCGATGTTTAATCTAATACCGGAGGATTGGGGAGGCTACGTTACCCCGTGGGTGAGGGAAATTGCGGACTCTTTTAATTGCTTGAAGTCTCTCCACTTCCGGCGAATGATTGTCGTAGATTCGGATCTGGAGCTTCTTGCTCGTGCTCGGGGCCGTGTTCTTCAGTCGCTTAAACTCGATAAATGCTCTGGGTTCTCCACCGATGGCCTATTCCATATTGGACGCTCCTGCAGGTATCTGATTTGATTTCGAAACTAGGTTTTAAATCAAGATTTCATTTCGTTTAAGGCTCTCGGTATATCAAAATCACTCTACTAAACAGAATCTAGAAATCTTTTCTGCCTTCTGGAATTGGTCTTTCGGGATTTTTCGTTGCTGTTTTGTTAAAGCTGAAATTTCTGGCCATTCAAAATTTTTGAGATGCAGAGAACGCATTAATTTTTGTATGCAACGACAATAAAAGCTGAAATCTCCTGATCTTTTCTATTAATGTTTTACTTCTATTTTTGGTTTTTCATTTTCTAGTTTTTTTTTTTTCGTGGGGTTTTTATTTTGTATTTTGTTTTCTCTTTTCTGGGTTATTGATACGATTTTATGATGTCTTATGCTTTTCTGTTCTAACTGTTAAACGAAAGAGATAAGAAGCTGAAACAAAGCGAAAGAATCTGCCAACTTACAAGTTACAACATTTATAAAGAAGGTTCAACATTTTGGGAGTTGGAGGATGAAGAACGCAACTGATTTAAGTGATCCTAAATGACCTCATAATTTTGATTGATCATGCAATTATAGCAATTATGTCATATTGCATTTGATTACGTCTATGAACTTAATAGCTTGTTTTCCGTGTAGAAATTAATAATAAAGCGACTTTTGAATGCGCTACTCATGATTTTTCTTGCTTCATATAATTCATCATCTTATATGTTAGTTCATTTTCCCATATATATTCTGGGATCTAGAATTCCTCCAAGATTTCCATATCACTCTTAGTTTTTTCTTACGATATTCCAGGAGTTTAAAAACGTTGTTTTTGGAGGAGAGCACAATTACCGAGAAAGATGGGGAATGGCTACATGAACTTGCCACGAACAACACAGTCCTTGAGACGTTAAATTTTTACATGACAGATCTTATCAAAGTCAAATTCGAAGATCTTGAGCTTATAGCCAGAAACTGCCGTTCCTTAATTTCTGTGAAAATTAATGATTGTGAAATCCTGCATCTCGTGGGCTTCTTTCGCGCTGCTGGTTCTCTGGAAGAGTTCTGCGGTGGTTCCTTCAATGATCAACCAGAGAAGTACGCCGCTGTATCCTTGCCCCAGAATCTCCGCCATTTGGGTCTTACATACATGGGAAGGAATGAAATGCCAATAGTCTACCCTTTTGCAAACCTACTCAAGAAGTTGGATCTCTTGTATGCATTGCTTCATACCGAGGATCATTGTATTTTAATTCAAAGATGCCCCAACTTAGAAGTCCTTGAGGTATTCAAATCAAGTTCATTTTCTAAGTTCTCTCATTTTTTCTTCATAGAATTCTAGTTGGCATGGAGTATAAGTATATCATTTGGATGTTGTTTTCAGATTGCCCCTGTCCTAGCTTCGCCATCGCTGTAGTTAGAACGCTTCATTCAACTCTGGGTTTAATTCTGAATATCTCATGGGGAGATGTCTTAAGTCTCACCCTTTCTTTAGTATAATTTGTTTCTTTTATACGAGTTCTCACACATATCAAAACCATTTTGGGTTTATTTCTGATGGCCACGTGGACTTGGGGGGAAATTTTTTTAGTCCATTCCTCTTTCCTTTACTTCCATTTTGTGAACTTCCTTTTATTTTTTAGTTCAAGTATCTTTTACTCTGGTTGACGTTGGATGTAAATATGGTATATATATATACACACATCATTTATGCGTTTTCGAAGAGCCCTGCTATCCCTTTTTCCATACTTTCGTTGTCTTTTGGGGGATTTCCACTTCATTCAATTCTGAGTTTAATTTTGTTTGCCCATTCTACTTAATGGGGGATCTGTTTTTACTTGTTTCGCGTCTCTTTTTGGGGTATAATTATATACTGCAAAAATTCGTATCAATTCAGTCAACAGAAGCTTTGGTATTAATAGAATTACATCAACCTAGTGCAACGATTTGTGGGCAATCTTTAGTATTGTCTAATAGATATTTTTTCTCCTCTGAACAGACCAGAAACGTCATCGGAGATAGAGGATTAGAAGTACTTGCTCAGCACTGCAAGAAACTGAAAAGGCTTAGAATTGAGCGAGGTGCTGACGACCAAGGACCGGAGGATGAAGAGGGTCTTGTTTCACAAAGAGGATTGATTGCTTTGGCTCAGGGGTGTCTGGAACTGGAATACTTAGCTGTGTATGTATCGGATATCACAAACTACTCTCTCGAATGCATCGGCACTTACTCGAAGAATCTCTGCGATTTTCGCCTTGTCCTGCTGGACCGAGAACTGACGATACCAGATTTGCCACTTGACAATGGAGTTCAAGCGCTATTGAGGGGGTGTTCTGCAAAGCTGAGAAGGTTTGCTCTGTATCTTCGGCCTGGTGGGTTGACGGACGTTGGTCTTGGTTACATAGGGAGGTACAGCCCAAATGTAAGATGGATGCTTCTTGGTTATGTTGGGGAGTCTGATGCTGGGCTGATGGAATTCTCTCTCGGCTGCCCCAGCCTTCAGAAACTTGAGATGAGGGGCTGCTGCTTCAGTGAGAAAGCTTTGGCAGCCTCCGTTTTGCAACTGACTTCTCTTAGGTACCTCTGGGTTCAAGGCTACAGAGGATCCTCAACAGGCCGTGATCTTCTTGAAATGGCGCGTCCCTTCTGGAACATCGAGCTGATCCCATCGAGACGAGTCACCGTGATCGATCAAGTCGGGGAGAGGGTGGTAGCTGAGCACCCTGCACATATACTCGCATACTACTCCCTAGCAGGACCAAGAACCGACTTTCCAGACACCGTCGTACCGTTGGATCCGCCCTTGATTGCTGCGTAGAGCATGGCTGTACATAGAACAACAACATCAACAACAAACAACGGTATCTCCTCCTCCTTGTCCTCCCCATTTTGCCACGTTCTTGTTAATAGAATTCAACATCACATTGCGGTTAGGGAATGTGTTTCCAATGTCATTAGACAAGACAGACAAACAGACAGATGGTTTTAGTGTTGTAATAATGTTGTGTTTTCTTGTTGTGGAACCATGATGGAAGGCAGTTTGATTGTTTACTTTTATGCAAAACTTTATTTTTGTTCTATTTGTTTCTTTTTCCCATTTTGAAGAAGAAGCCTTTTGTATTTGTAATACTTTGTTTTTGCTGAGTCGTTGCTTCTGGTGGGGGTTGGAGGATGGTTTGTATCGGTTGTGAATAAATTAAAGAGGTTTTACACTGCTGTTGAAATATTTGGTTTGGGAGTTAGGAATTGGAAGCCTGTGTCTAAATTTTATTCAGTGACTTCCCTCTTCTTTGGTTGAGTCAACGTTGCAGCAATTCATAACTGTCTTTAAAATTTTGGTGAGTAGAAAAGAGTAATGCAACATAAGATATATTTCTTCCCGTTTATAAAAATTAAAGAGTTATTAAATTTTTATTTGTGGTCTGCAGGAAGACGAGTTCATTTTTAAAAGTATTTTTCTCGAAGATGACTTTTAAGTTGTAACTAGATGACACATTTTGAAACCATGCATTTTTCGGGCTTCTCTCCAACTTCAATTTAGAATTTTGATTTTAAAAGAATTAAAT